ATACAAACACATTTTTTTAAATAAGATGAGACAGACCAGAAAACCACAAAGTGGGAAACAGCCCACTTACAAATATTGGGAAAAAAATGATTTAACATCCCCAGCGGTAGACTACATCATGAAAATGTTCACACAAAGCAGCAGAACATGGTGATCCTGTCCTGAGCTTCAAGCATTTGGACCAAATTTCAAACCAGCCAGTCTCAGCTGGTAGGGATGCGTCTTGCTTTGCTCCTCGAGCCCTCACTGACCTGTGAGAAACTTGCAGAGAGGATATTGTGTTTCACCATCTGAGCTACACAGATAAATATGCGCAGCATAAATCATGTCCTGTGCTGCAGTGCAAGGAGGGGAAAGGTAGATCCACTGCCTCAATGGTAGGAAATGGCCCAGCACTCTTGGATGATCTCACCTGCTTTCAGGTTAAACAAGCAAAAAAATATTTCAGCATCATCATCATGGACATCATCTTTGTTTTAATTCCAGATTTTTTCCCTTTTTGTTGGAGAAAGCCTCTGGTTCTTGTAATACTGACTCTACCAAAAGTTATTGTTTGACAGTTACATATTGTATCTAGCTTGAGATTTCCTGAATTAATCACGCTGGAGATTTTTGTGATGAGCTTTAGAGAAAGTCCATCAGAACTGGACAGGAATACCTTTTATGAAAATGATCTTCGCATCTTCCAGTGTAGCTCAGATCAGCTTTACTACCTCACACAAGTCTCATATTGTTTTACACCAGACTAAAACAGTAATTCCCAGAACCTTGTATACACACATGCTGCCTAACGAATAGTGGCATTGTAAAGCGCTTTGGGTGCCTTGAAAAGCGCATTTGTCGCCACACCTTAGTCGTGTTGCTGTGACGTCGTTGTATCCAAATATGGCAGTTTAAGCATCCTTCCCCTGAATTCGGACACAGCCACAGACTGGTTCGTGAGCAGTCATGCTGTAGACTGACTGACTGACTGGTGACCAGTTCAAACCAAGAACTGCGAAAGTCAGCTGATTCAGTGCATCTCTAATTTAAATTCATTTCCAGTAATAATATCAAACAATGAATAGACTTGAGGTGAACAGAGACACACCTTTACTTAATTTTGCACTCTTTTTTTAAAGATGAATTTTTCCACCACTAAATTAAGGTGCAAAATTCTCACAACAGGTCATTAGGTGCAAACCACAAGACCAGAAATAAAAATAAGTTGTTAAAACAGACTTTCACTAGCTGGGCCCACGTCCTCATTTTAGGTTTGACAGTGTTTTAATAGGTAAAGGTGAATGCTGGGACATGAATTGAGCTGCAGTTTGGGGAAGGCCTCGAAGGGGACTGGCAACGGCTCCCGGGCCTGGCAGATCCCCGTGGACTAAATAGAAATGAAGAAGTTAAAGAATTGAGAACAAGGAGGGAGGGACGGTGGGGCACGTAAACGAGAATGAACAGTTGCAGAACTGGGGGAACCTATACAGATGACAACCGGAAGGAGCGTGTTTGGAGGCGTGGTCCCGCTCCTGAAATTCCGATACATTATCTCCAAATAAACTGTATTTAAGGGCTGGAAGTAGCCCCTGTGACCCACTGCTGTCTTGGAGCCTCAGGCTGAGAGAGCTGAGCAAGGGTACGTACGCAGTAGACCTACATGGGGTGTGTAGGTCTGCTACCTTGCTTCATCGTGTCTTTTGACTCTAATAGGAACCACATGTCATAAAGAGAACATCGTGTTATATTCAATAAGACCAGAGCCACAGATTGAAATAATAAACTCATCAGGAACTTCATTACTCAGCTCATAGATCGGGCGGCTGAGGGGTCATTTTTCCAGAGAGATCTATACGATCTGACATTTTTTTCAACTAAAGGAGTCACCCTCCTGCTGTACATTACAGATCTAAGGCACTTCAGCACTGGGCCCACTTTTAAAATCTGGAAGCTACATCCATGTGTTATATCTATGAAAAAACCTTTCACATGCTGGAGGGTCGACAGTGAGTTCTCTGTGTTTTTGTCCCTGGTAGAAACTGCTTATATAGCACACAGTCCTTTGGCCCATTGTCAGCACAAGAATAATGATGAATCCTCAATACCCCCTTTTCTTTTTCCAAACTAAGATTCAAAAATGGAGTTTTCTGTAATGTTTACTGGACAGTGAAACTGTGTGCAGCACCATCTTCCTACGACAGCTGACAGAAAATATGAGAACGCAGCTTTTAGAAATAAACTAGCCATTGAGCCGCTGTTGTTGCTACTTTACTGTTATCCTAAAACAGCATAGTCTCAAAGCATAGTCTCTCTTTTGTGGAAACCAGCAACTGCTCTCTATTTTCCTCAGTTGATTGGCTTTAAAAGGGCTCTCACTTGTATGAAGCCTTGTTATTGTGTCTTTTTGAGGAAAGCAGGGGAAGTGTTAAATAGAGCAATATGTTCTCGCAGAGACACCAAAGCTGCTGTCCAGGTCCCATCATCACCTCCTTCCAGCAGGAAATCAAGCAAGACATTACATTTTATCATCTGTTTTCATTTATGGGATGGGAAACAGTAGAGCGGTGTGTTCAGACACAATGCTGATTTATTGGCACACATCACTTGTCACTATTTCCTGCTATTGTGTTTTGTGTCAGAAAGAAGCAAAGTAAAAATGGGATTAAACACATGCTCTGTCCAAGATAAAGAAAGATGCACTGTAAATTCTTCCTCTTCTTATATGATTACAGAAACATATCAGTGTTCAAGATAAAGAGTCATCAAGCATGCATTGCTCAAGAGTTGCATGTGATGCAAGCAGCAGTTGCTATAGGGAAAAATATATACAGTGGGGCAAAAAAGTATTTAGTCAGCCACCGATTGTGCAAGTTCCCCCGCTTAAAATGATGACAGAGGTCAGTAATTTGCACCAGAGGTACACTTCAACTGTGAGAGACAGAATGTGAAAAAAAAATCCATGAATTCACATGGTAG